GTGTGCTCTCTTGTTAGCACATTTCTTTATACTCTGTAGGAGCACATATAATATTCTGACATACTAGCATTATTTTTTTCATTGAAATTTACAAGAGAATGAACCATGTTAAAGTAAATATTTCAGTGATTAGGACATTCATAATTTTGTACAACTGCTATTTCTAATTTCAAATCCTCTATCCACTAAGAAACAGGTCATTCTTCATTTCCCTTCCCCAAGTCCGGAGCAATCAACTATCTGCTTTTTTTTTTTTGTATTTACATACTCTGGACATAAACGGGGTTCAAATCTGTCATTAATTTAACACCTTGTTGCAGGCGCCAGTGCATCATTCCTGCAGGTGGGGGGGGGCACTACTGGAGTTTGACCTCAGGGTCTGCACACTATTCCTTAGCATTTTCTACTCAGGGTTGCTGCACTATCAAACCACAGTTCCACTTCTGGCTTTCTTCTGGTTAATTGGAGATTAGTCTCAGGGAATTTCCTAACAAGCAGACACTCCTACTGGTTCTTTCTTTCCTTAGAAGGCTCAATGCCTAGGATCTCATTAAAGTGAGCTACTCCTTAAAGGTCCCATCTCCAAACAGAGTCATAAAGGAGACTGGGGCTCATTGTTTGAATTGGTACAGAAAAACAATTGAGTCCTTAACATCTCTGTTATTTTCTCCTATCTGTACATGGTGCCACTATTTCATTTTTTTAAAGTATATACATGCATAGAACCACATGCTGGCATGCATGTAATTGTAGCTACTCAGGAATCTGAGATCTGAGGATCATGGTTTGAAGCCAGTGTGTGCAGAAAATTCCGTAAGACTCATCTCCAACTAGCCAGGAAAAAGCTGGAAGTGGAAGTGTGGCTCAAGTGGTAGAGCACCAGAATTGAACTAAAAAAAATAAAAACTCGAGGAAGAGGTCCTGAGTTCAGACCCCACTACTAACACAGACACACACACAGACAAACACACACACACACGAAAGAAAACCAAAGACACATGAAGAGCCCTTGTACAAAAGCTTCTTTTATTATTATTGTAAAGGTGATATATAAGGAGTTACAGTTACATAAGTCAGGTAATGAGTATATTTCTTTCTGAACAGTGTCCCCTCTTCCCTCGTGTGTCCATTTCCTCAGTGTCTGCTGGGCTGTCTCATCTCTGCACCCCACAGCCTACCCTGCTCAGCTCCATCCAGGCTCTTCACACTCTTGACTCTGTTTCTTTGTGTCCCAGAGCTCTTTGCAAAGAAGGACCATGAATTATTCATTATTATCATTATTTCAACTCCTAGGTTTTATACTATGTAAAAGGTGTGCAAAACTGGGTAAACCAAATTTAATCAAAACACTCTGCCTAGGCAAATCAAGAGGCAATGAGAACAATCAAGAAGACAAAAAAAGTGTGGCTGAGGATGAGCAACTGGAATCCTCACTCATTCACCAATGGGAACACACAATAGTGCACACATTTTGGCAGTCTGGAAGTTCTAAAAAGAATTATGATTCTAGCTACTCAGGAAGCTGAGATGTGAGGATCCTGGTTTAAAGTCAGCCTGGGAAGGAAAGTCTAGGAGACTCTCTTATCTTCAATTAACCACCCCAAAAATTCAGAAGTGGAGTTGTGGCACAAGTGGTAGAATGGTAGGGAAGCTCAGGGTCAACACCTAGACCCTGAGTTCAAGCCCCAGGACTGGCATAAAAAAGGGGGTTAAACCCTCACTTACCATATGCCTCAGCAATTCCATTTGTAGATATACCCCCTAGAGAAAACATAGGCTTGCAGAAAAGTTTTGATAGAAATGATCACAATCAGACTATTTGTAGCCACCAAAAACTTGAAATAATTCAAATGTCCATAAACTGGTAAATAGAAGAACAGTATGTGGTGTGTCCAGGTAATGAAATACTATTCATCCAAAAAAAAAAAAAGGAGAAATAGAGACTTGATAATGCTACAAACGAATGAACCTGGAAAACATAATGCTAAAAGATAGAAGTCAGTTACAAAGGAATATATTGTACAAACTTTATTCATATAAAATGACTAGAAAAATCACCTAGAGACAGACAGCAGCAAAGTGGTTGGTTAGAAGAGGGAGAAGGGAAATTCGCTCCAAACACGGTTCAAGAAACTTTGGAGCGTGATCAGGTGTTCTAAATCTGGCTTGTGGCGATAGCTGCACAACTAATTACTGTGCATACCCAAAGCCTGAACTCCACGCGAGAAACTGTACTCGGGTTGCTCATGGCTTGGCCCTCTCGACCCAGATCAGAACCAGCACTGCTCTAGCTCGGCCCAAGCCTGAAATGTGGACCACCGAATACCTCATTTTGGGGGTGAGGGCAAAGGGTCGGGGATGTCCTATCACAACAGCGAAGATACAGGTGTATCCCCACTGCCGGCCACCTTGGGGTGCTACAGCGGGGCGCAACTGTCGCGGGACGAAGGGGACACACACCAGGGTGCAAAGCACCTGTCCCCGCTAGAAGGCCTAGGGCAAAGTCTGCCAGTTTTCCTATAGGACCAAAACCCGCCTGGGGCTGGGGGTGCAGAGAGGAGTCTCCTGCGCTGGGCTGGGGCTTCCACTGCTGGTCGCGCAGAGCTACAGGGCCGTGTGCAGTGCGGTGCGGGAAGCATCGCCTTTCCCGCTGGGGCCCCAAACCCTGAGCTTAAAACCTGCCCTCCCAGGTGCAGTGGCCGCGGCCTCTGTCGGAAAGCGAAGGCATGCGGCAGCGCCTCCTGGCGGTCAGAACAGGTCACAGCAGGCGCTGCGACCCAGCGGAGCAGAATGCAGGGGAGTCTAACCGTGCCCAGCTGAAGGCAGCACAAGAAAAGGAAGCCCGCCTCAGTAAGTCCGTTCAGCCAAGCCCAGCCAAAAGAAAGCGCTGAGCCGAGCTCACCAAAGTCCAGCCAAAAGCAGCCGAACTCAATTGAGCCCAGCTCAATACAGCCGAGCACACCCCTGCCTAGCCCAGCCGAAAGAGGCGAACCCAGATCAGGACAGACCAGATCAAACCAAGTTGATTCGAGCCTAGTCAAACCTAGCCAAAGAGCTCAGCCCAGCCCAGCCCACCCTAATCGAGCCCAGCCTTGCCGATTCCAGCGGAGCTCGTCGAGCGCAGCCAAGTCCAGCCGAGCCTAGCTAGAGCCAATCCCAGCCGGAAGGTAGTGGAGCGCAGCGAAACACAACACAGGCAAACTGAGCGTAACCGAAGGCGGCTGAGCCCAGCCGAGGGCAGTCTTACCGAGCCTAGCCAAAGAACCAAGTGCAGTCGAGCAGAGCACAGCCGGAAAGTAACCGGATGCCGATAGCTGAGCCAATCCCAAACAAGTCAAACCAAGCCAAACCAAGCCAAACCAAGCCAAAGGTAGTCGAACTCCATCCTGTCGAGCCCAACTGAGTAAGTAGAACTCCAATTTGCCGATCCTACCCGAGCCCTGCCGAACCTGGACGAGCTCATCCGAGCCTACCCGAGCCCGGCCGAGCCCAGCCGAGCCCAGCCGAGCGTAGTTGAATGCCACTAACCCCAAAGGAGCGAGTGGATTACCAAGTTTAGCCAAGCAAAGGTGGGAAAACCGAGCTCAGACAAGCCAAGCAAAGCCAAGTTGAGCCCAAACGAGTGCAGCAAAGAGGAGGCCAAGCAAACAAAGCGCGACTTTTTTTCTTGTTCTTGTTGGTTCATTGCACACAAGTGTGGCATGGACTTTCCTACCCGGTCTGGCTTCGAACCGCGACCCCGAGATCTCAGCCTTCTGAGTTGCTAGGATTACAGGTGTGAGCCACTGGCGCCTGGCAGGAAATCTGCAGAACATTGAATTCAGACAAACTTTTATGAGTTGGAGGCACATTTATATTTCTGGGCAATTAGAGAGGTTCACAGTAGTGCTGGGACAAAAGACCAAATGCTGATGGACTAATTGTCCAGAAGAGTAGAATAATAGGAAGAAATGGTCTGCTAGGTAGGGAAATTATTACTTTCACCCCAATGAGAACTATTGAGAAGCCCCAGAGGTATGTGGAATGTGTTTTAATAAAGAGTGCATTGATGAGGGGATTGGCTATGGAGGTCACTTTGGTCACTTTCATCATCTCTTTTAGAGTCATTTGCAAAGCTTGGAGTAGCAAACAAATAATTCAGCATTTAGCTAGGCTCATTAAAAACCCCTACAAGCCTGGGGCTGGGAAGGTGGCTCAGTGATAGAGTGCTTGTCTTGCCTGAGGCCCTGGGTTCGATTCCTCAGCACCACATAAGCAGAAAAAAAAGCCGGAAGTGGCACTGTGGCTCAAGTGGTAGAGCGCTAGCCTTGAGCTGAAGAGCTGAGGGACAGCGCCCAGGCCCAGAGTTCAGGCCCACGACCGGACTCCCCCCCCAAAAAAAAACCCTACAAGTCAATTTGTGGGCCAAATCATCTAAATATTTCCATTGGAATTACATCATTTGGTAGAGGGAAATAACAATCTTTTAGTTACTCCAGCAAAATCTTTTTTGATTTCTTCCTTGTGAGGCACATTGTCCAAAAATTGAAAGATTTCACAATTCCACAACAGCACAACCATTTTCTCCATAGATTTTTAGGGAGGAAGTGCTGGGGGGGGTGTGTCTTAATGCTAGCAGTGACTACTGAAAGCTAGGCATTAGTGGCATTTAGTTCATTCAAATGATAGTACACACTACAAGAATCACAGTAAAGTAAAACAAGGCATGTGTAAAAACAACAGAGAAACCTACTGAAATAAGATTAAAAAGGGAAGAGGGGAATGAGGGAGAGAGATAAAGGTGGTGAGTAGGTCAGGGTACATAGTAAGTATGCTTGAAAATCACACAACGAAACTCCCTTGTATAACTACGATGCAAATAAAAACATTTTAAATGATTTCCTTTCCATTTCTAAGATTCTTTTGCTTAATAAGAAATAGCCATCGTAAATAAATCACTACATAGAATTGCTATAGTTATTGGCAGTTATCATTTAAACTATTAATGTGACAGCCTGAAGTTATTTAGTTATGATTTCTGCCATGTGGCTCCATGCTCTGGCTTTCTTCTTGGCCAAGGAAAACCACACAGGCTCGTTTCCATCATTCGGCTCCACAGGTTCATCTGGCCAGTGGAGCCTGGCTGGAAGGCTTGAAGATCGTTTGGCTTCTTTCTTTGTGGAAGTGTACTCATCTTCAAATGCAACTGGAATCACAGCAAATAACACAGTAAGCATGAGGAAGGTCCAGAGATAATGGGGGTACATTTATTGGATGAAATCACATGTTTCAATTTTTTTCAGGTTCCCTCTGATCACTCTTCTCTGAGGTCTTTCTACTTCCACTTCCTTTGATGTCAGGTTTCTGAATGTCAATGCATTGGCAATGCCTTGAGTGCCATATCACAGGAAGAAAGTAAACATGGCTATAACCACAGAAACCTAGACAAGGGTGGAGGCTTGAGAAGTAATCCCTAAAGCTCTGTCAATCTTGCGGTGGCTATTATTCAATTGCCCTGTACTTGTTTGTCTGTGCAGTTCTGGGGCTTGAAGTGAGGGCCTAGGCACTGTCCCTTAGCCTTTTTGCTAAGAATTTAGAGGAAATAAAACAAGTTTTTTTTTTGCTTTTTTTTTTTACTGTGTAACACTTTGGGGGTGGGGGCATTTTTTAATGTTGGTCCTGGGGCTTGAGTTCAGGGCCTGGGCACTGTCTGTCACTGGGTTTTTTGCTCAAGGCCAACTCTCTACCACTCAAGTCACAGCTCCACTTCTGGCTTTTTGGTAATTAATTGGAGATAAGAGTCTTATGAACTTTCCTGCCCAGGCTGACTTCAAACCCCAACCTTCAGATCTCAGTTCTCCTGAGTAGCTAGGATTCAAGGTATGAACCACTGGCAGCCAGCTGGGGGATGCTATTTTATTTTTCACTTACTCTATATTATTGTAATATGTTAAACTGTACACAGTAAATGATTGTTTTTTTTTTTTGGGTCCGGTAGTGGGGCCTGAACTCTGGGCCTGGGCGCTGTCCCTCAGCTCTTCAGCTCAAGGCTAGCACTCTACCATTTGAGCCACAGCGCCACTTCCAGCTTTTTTTCTTTTTGCTTATGTGGTGCTGAGGAATCGAACCCAGGGCCTCAGGCATGCAAGGCAAGCACTCTACCACTGAGCCACCTTCCCAGCCCTGAAAGAGATCTTTTAAAGTGAGAAGTAAAGTCAAAGTGTAGATCTTTTCTTTTTTCTTTCTTTCTTTTTTTTTTTTTTTGGTTCAAGACCAGGACTTGAACTCACTACCTGCCACTTTCACTTGCTACCTGACACTTTTGCTTATCGACTAGTACTCTACTAACTGAGTCACACCTCCAACCCCTATAGGATTGGTCACCTCCAACCCCTATAAGATTGGTCAATTCTTTTTTCTTTTCTTTTTTTGTCTGAGACCTAGTAAAACTCTTTCAAAGTGAAAATTTCAGTCTTCATGTGATTTCTCAATAAATTTAGTAATCACCTAAAAGCATAGGGCATTACGTATGTTCTTCCCTGCCCCCTCCCAAAAAGTCCTCCTTCCTTGATTAATACTCTCAAAGGGTGGCATGTCTGCCATAGTTCTCAGTGGAAACTTAATCAGTGGGTCTACAAACCTTGTGCAGTATTTTCTGGGATGTCTCACATTCCACCCTATATAGTTAGGCTTTTTATACAAGGCGCTTAGCCTTGTCTTCAGCTCTCACCTCAGATTTAGGCTCATTGGTCTCAGCCTTGTTTTCAGCTGTGTTATTGATGTTTAGCTCTTTCATGGGAATGCAGGATGGAAAATTCCTCTGTTTCTGCTTTGCCATGGTAATCCAATCTGGCTCTAGAGTGGCCTGATCTGACTGCTGACCAGGAGGCTTTCCTTAAAAAGAATGAAAGGAATTATAACTAAAGCAAGGCAGGCAAAGGTTTGAGCCTGGTTGGGGTGTGTCCACAGTAATGTTCAAATAGATCCTTATTAATTGCCAAATGAAAATGAATAGCTTTCAAGTAGAGAAGGACTCCCTTAGTTTATTCCCTCCCTACAACCTGGCTAAAGAGCCCCTCGGGTAATTAAGAAGCTATACTTAGCCGTGGACATAGTGTCCCTGTCCTGTTATTGGACCCTTCCATTTTTCTATTCACCCCTCTTCCAATCCCCAAATTAAAGTAGGATAATAGTTGTCAGGTTGACTGAGAAAGTTCCTATGAGGTGAGAAGCTCAGTGTTTGTTCTCATTCCTTCAACTTCAAGGAAAACCTTGTGGAATTTAATATAAGGATGTGGCATCATAGTTGTGGTTAGAGGCATTAGTTAGACAATTGTGGGCAAGAGCCAAGGTACAAAGGTTTTTGGGAGAGAGTAGTGCTCAAAAAGCCACCAACTACCAGGTGCTGGTGGCTCAGGCCTACAATCCCAACTACTCAGAAGGCTGAGATCTGAGGATCACAGTTTAAAGACAGCTTGGGCAGAAAAGTCCATGAGACTTTCATCTCCAATTGGCTACAAAAAGCTGGAAATGGAGATGTGTCTCAAGTGTTAGAGCATTAGCTTTGAGCAATACAAGCTAAGGGATAGCACCCAGGCCCAAAGTTCAAGCCCCATGACCAGAAAAAAAAATCCACCAGAGCTGGATACTTGGACATTTCAGGTAGTGAAGAAAAGAAGAAGTGAAGAAAAGTTTAAATTTCAAGCTATGAGTCTGAACACAGTGCTCCTAATGAATTGACTTCTAGAGATCAACTAGGTAGTTTAGGAGGGGCATGATCGATGCAAAAATATTTTTGAAAAAAGTTTATGATTCCACCCAAAGTATGTTGAATGGAGGGTACAGAGAGAGGGAATGTGAAGATGGTCATGTGTCCATTATGGAATGTGGATACATGGCCAGACCTGTGCACTCTTGGGAAAAGGAAGACTCAAAACGAGCTATCTCCAAATCTGTCCATCTACAATATGCACTAACTCTGCTCCCAAATCCACAAGGTAGCCCTATAAAAATAACAGTGCAGCCAGGCACCATGCCTCATGCCTGTAATCCTAACTACTCAAGGGGCTGAGATCTGAGAGTTAAGGTTCAAAGCCAGCCCAGGCAGAAAAGTCTCTGTAAGACTCTTATTTCTAATGAACCACTCAAAACCTGGAAGTGGAGCTGTGGCTCAGTGGTAGAATGCTACCCTTTAGCAAAAGAGCTCAGGGACAGTGCCCAGGTCCTGAGTTCAAGTCCCAGCATTGACAAAAAAACAAAGCAAAACAAAAATAAAACAGTTCAGTAGACATGGTTAGTTTAGACTTTGGAGCACAAACAGGGCTTTGCTTTCTAGTTCTTCCCTCCACTTGGCATCTACTTCCCATCTGAAGAGAGAAAACTCTTACCTGCGATCTTGCACGCTGGTTGCTTCTTAACCAGGCCTTCAGACTTGGGATTGCTCTGTTGTGTCTCTGCAGAGTTAAATGTTGGTTCGAGGTAATCTGAGTTGTCGAGACACTTTGGAGAGACATTCCTTCTTATTTTTGGTTCTTTGTCTGCAGAAGATGAAGTCGGGCCCAGGGCCTGTGAAGGAAGCTGGCTGACAGGATCTTGTTTCTCACTCTTATGTTTTGATGAAGAATGGGTTTTTCTCAGTCGAATTCCAAAGATGTTTTCAACATCATCCATTTCATTGGTGGGGAAGCATGAGTGGTTGTCATGATTTTCATTGCCACCTTGAAGAGCGTCCTCCTTGGAGTAAACATCAAAAGTATTGAGCATTGTCTGGGCAGGACCAACAATGAACTTCCCAGGTTTGTTAGTGGGAATCAAGATGCTCTTAAGGAAGTCTTCAGGGCCTGCGCTGTGTTTCTTCGTTTTCTTGATTAAAGGTTCGTTTTTTTGCAGGAACCAGTTGCCTGAATTCTCAAAAGTTGCTCTCCTGAAACCTGTGGAAACCTGTTGCCAATATTCAGTGTTTCCAAAAGCCTTGAAAATATTGCTGGAAGGTAAAAGCTCCTCCCTATTGCTCTCCTCTCCAGAAACACTCCCAGAACTGGTTGATGCCATTAGTGGCCAGATTTCAGAGACTTTCCAGGCTTGGAAAGGGTAAGGAGACAGCAGCTGCTCATCAACACTCCTCCATTCTTCAGGAAAGTTGACAGACATGGAGATATCTGGCCTGTACTCAGGTTTCCCTGTGACCTTGGAAATCTTTCTGGTGGGAAGCTGCTTTTTAGACATGTTCTTCATCGCAGGAAAACTGGCCGAATGTGAGAAAACGTGTGGCTCTTCAGGCTTCGCCCAGGACTGTTGCTGATGCTTCATATGTGGCTTCTTGAAAGAAATGCTTCCCTCGGGGACAACATTTCCCCAATCTGAGAAGACCTGCTGCTCAACTTTCAGCTTCAGTAAAGATTTGGAATGATGCTTTGAAGCCACAGGATCCACGTACACCTTCTCCTCCACAGGAGGGCTGTCTGAAAAGATCTGCTGTGCCATAAACTTCACAAATGACTGCGAAGGATCCCGGTGAGCCTGTGCTTTTGTAGTGATGTCTTCTTCCACCACCTTATTCTCCAGACGGGAGGATATTTCCTTCACTTTAGACCTCCTAGAGAATGGAGGGGAATGTTTGAGAGGGGCTGGCTTGCCATTGAGGAATTCCTCGAGATTCTCCAAAGCAGACGTGACTTTGGGAGCATCCTGTGTCCCAACAGATGGAGAATGCTGTCTGGGAAACCCTAGCTCCTTAGAAAGGCTGTGCATCCTGACAAGAGCCTTCGCATCAGGGGCGACTTGATGCTCCGATTTAGGACTCATGCATGACTGGTAAACATATCTGGGAGACATGGGTCTCACAGGGCCGCTCCATTCTGCAGACATCAAACTTGAGGACATGTCTGGCTTAATCTTGGGTCTCACTGGGGGCTGAGAATGATGCCGGCGAGGCCTCAACTCTGTAGAAATGCTTCTCTGGGTGGCAGTGTTCTCCAGACACGCAGAGAGCTGTTGCTTGAATGCTTCATTCATCCCAGGCTGTAAAGGAGGTTTCAGTGGCTTGGATTCCACCAAACTGCTGCATTGGGCAGAATTGCTCACTGGTCCCAAGGAGACAGGTGGATTGATGGCTAATCTCATCACAGAATGAGCAGGCATTTGAGGTGATGGGGAGCCCATTGAATTTTCCAGCTCAGTAGCAGTATTCTCTAGACCTTCGGACACTTGCTGAATTGGAGAAAACAACTGTGGTCGGGAATGGTGTCTAGAGGCCGTGGTCTCCATCATAATGCTCCCCTCCTCCTCAGCATTCTCTGGACAGAGAGAGATGTGTTGCTTGAATTTACGGTTTATCCGGGCTTGGAGAGTATGATTAGCCGGCTTTAGCTCCATATGATTGGTCCACTGGGCAGAAGTACTCCCGGTGTCTTGGATCATCTGTGATTGGACGTGAGGCCTCCCAGAAGACTCAGGCGGGAATCTGGCTGGCAGTGGCTTTGTCAAAATGGGCTCTTCTGCAGTGTTGCTGTGTGCAGAGGAGATTTGCTGGCCTGCAGGACTTGGCAAGATCTGGGAAGAGGACTTGGAATGGTCCCCAGAGATGGCCTTCTCAGCTGCAACAGTCTCTGAACTCATCATCATACTTGTATGAAATTTAGACTTTTGGGGGGGCTTGGGAAGAATTTTAGCAGGCAGTGACTCGGTAGAAATGCCCCTTTCAACAGCCTTGCTTTCTGGAAACAAAGAGACTTGTCGTTCCATTGGAGAGTTCAGCCACGATTGGAAAGAATTCCCAGGAGGCCTCGGATCCAACGCAATGCAGCCTTCTGCAGATACGCTTCTGGAAGTTACAGTCATTTGTTGCTGGTTGAATGGATGCATCGAGGAAGATTTAGGAAGCAGTGACTCCATAGAAACTCTCCTCTCAATTCTACCGCCCTCTGCACCCAAAAGGATTTCTTTCTTGACTAGTGGTTTTGCCAAGGGTTGGGGAGGCCCTTTGGGAGACTCCATGGAAACATTCCCCTCAATGATAGTGCTCTGCACATGCACAGAGACTTCTTGCGTGGCTATGGGTTTGGCTACGGGAGGTGAAATGGGAACAGGGACCACTTCTCTCTGACTTGTAATTTCTGGAGTTGAGATTCTTTGCTCAAGTTTTTTCCTTGGACGCTTGGGAGGCGCTTTATGAGCCATTGGCTTCTCCATAATAATGCTCCATTCGACTGCAACCTTCTCTAGATCTGACTGGAAAGAATGGCTGGGAGGGATTTTCTCCACAGGCTCTGTCTGCTGAATAGGATTCTGTGTAATGGGCTGGGCTGGGTGGCTGGGAGGAATCTGCTTGACTGACACATTGCACTCTTCTGTAGGAATTTTCATCGAAACTGAGGATGCATCTGCTTCTTTGGGCTTCTTCAAGGTCCTATCAGCTTGTTGGAGAGACAGGTCTTCCTCAGAGCTGCTCATATCATCAGCACTGTTATATTTTTCCACATAACTATTTGAATCCAGGATGATGCGTTTATCTTGTAAAAGGTGGAAAGCTGGTCTGGGAATCAGGTGATCCTTGGAAGTCACACGAACACCTTTGGATTCTGAGGCGCCTTGTCTAGCCTTACCCTGGGACTGGTGAGCCGGACCAGGAACCCCTCGCTCAAAACTATTGTCCCCCTCTGGTATCGTATTCAAATGTGAGATGGCTTCATCTTGAGGCTTTCTCATGAACTGGGAAGAATAGCCAGGAGTTCCTTTCTTCTCGAGATTGCTCAATTCTTTACTGGCATTTTCTGATTTGGAGAAGACCTTCGGGTCTCCTTTATGTTTCCACGAGGATTGGATATGGTGGTCAGGAGTCTGCTTTTCCTCAGAACTGTTCTCCTCTGAATTACTCTTCAGAGTTGTTGAGTCTTTTTCAACTCTCGTGGCCTCCAAAGGCTGAGGAAGGCTTCTAGGAGGCAGCCTGTCTGTAGAAATGTCTCCTTCGGGGCTAGGGCTTGTCATACTGGGAACATTCCCTGTGAACACCTGGACAACATTTCCACAAGACTTTTCTTTGCAGATAGTTGGGACACTCTGGGCCTGCTCCATTTTGCATTGAGCATTTGAGCTCGAAGCATTTTGCTCTTCTGATTGATCTGAAGGGCTCATGAGCAGCTGAGCATCTGCTGCTCTTGATAGCATGTTCTCTTCTTGGGTTGTAGGGAGCCTTTCTGCCAATGGCAAAAGGGAACTGTTGACTTCTTTCTTCTTGGCTCCAGCAGCTTCATCTTTATGGTGTCGTGATACATCACCGCTCGTGAACTCAGGGTCTCCTGATGTAAGTTGGGGTTCAGATGCTCTTTTGGCTTCAAAACTTGCTTTAGCATTTCCCTTTTCTAAATCCCCTTTATTGGAACGCACCTCCATGCCTTGCTTCTCCAAAGGCTGGAGCCATAACAGGCCCTCCTTGTCATTCTTATTGGAAGGTGAGAACTCAGTTATATTGCCTAGATCATGCAGTGGATTGGGCAGTCTGTCTCTTCGGAATCCATATTCCAGTGTTAGTTTCCTTCGGCATTTTTTCCCAACTGCTATTGACATTGAGTGGACTTGGTTCCCAGCAACAACAATATTTGGAGCCTGGTCTGTTGTCTTCTGATCACACATATCAGTTTTGTTTTGGTCCCTGGTGGAGAGACCTGTACCAAAGAGCAATCAGGGAAAGAGAAAGACATGTGTTTTGAGTTTTAGATTTCCTAAAATAGAATTACTTTGCTCTGGCCCGGTGGATATGTATTTGCTATGTATTTTACTATGAACAAGCAGCTATTTATCAGCTTTGTGCAATAGGAAATCTTATTGAGTTTCTTAGGCTTGTTTGTGGGTACTCGACTTGCTTGTTCAGCTGGTGCTCTCCCACTTGAGCCATGCTTTCAAGCTATCATTTTGCTGGTTAACTGGAGAAGTCTTGTGGACTCTTATGGACTGAGCTAGCTTTTTTATATGTTTTTTTATTCTAAAAATACTGTACAGAGTGGTTATAGTTACATGAGTAAGCTAATGGAGTACATTTCCTATCGAGCATTTTTTACCTCCTCCTTTGTCTTTCCTCTACCATCCCTTCCCTCCCTGTCTCTCCAACTCCTCCCTGCCCTGCTGAAGCTGTAAAGTTTGTTTTCAACATACTGTCTTGTACAACTCATTGTTACCAAGGGTCCACCTGTATCCTTATTTCAGCCAGCATTTTGTTATTGCCCTTCCCCTCCCCAAATTAGAAAAATGTATATACAAGATGCAGGGCACTGACATCAAATACAGTAAAAACAGGGGTTATACCATGGGGGAAGAACATATAAGAGAAAAAAAATCACATAGTACATTTTAAAGACGTTAAAAACAATAGCAAGAAAGAAAAAACACTTGTGTCCCTATCTTGGTGCTCATTTAACTTAACATCATCTTATATGGTCATTTGAAGATAGCTTTTGGGTTTTTCTGCTTGTCCTACACTTATACTAGTTATTGCAAATAAGGGAAACAATGGGACCTATGTTTCTTTGGGCCTGGCTTAGTTCAGTTAATATAATTTTTCCAAGTCTTTCCATTTCCTAACAAATGGGGTGATGTCATTGTTTCTGATGGAGGCAGAGAATTCCATTGTATAAATATACCACATTTTCTTGATCCATTCTACTGAGGGGCATCTGGGTTGGTTTCGTACCTTAGCTATGGTAAATAATTCTGTAATAAACATAGTTGTGCTGGTAGCTTTAGTATAGCCTTGTTTGTGATTGTTTGGGTAAATGCCCAAAAGTGGGATTGCTGGGTCATAGGGGAGTTAGCTTTTTTTGTTTTTGTTTTGCCAGTCCTGGGGCTTGAACTCAGGGCCTGGACACTGTCTCTGAGCTTCTTTTGGTCAAGGCTAGCACTCTACCACTTGAGCCACAGCACTACTTCTGGCTTTTTCTGCTTATGTGGTACTGAGGAATCAAACCCAGGGCTTCATGCATGCTAGGCAAGTACTCTACCCCTAAGCCACATTCCAAGCCCCAGCCTGAGCTAGCTTTAAATAATGTTCCTACAGGTTTCAACTTTACTAAATAGCTAGTACTACAGGCATGAGCTATTGGTACCTGGCTGGAAATTCTACAAGGTGAATTTCAATTCTATGAACTGATTTCAGAATTGGATCATCAATATTTTATCAATAGCCTGGTCCCTTATTACGTATGAGATGCATCAAAAAGAAAACTTTGTGCAACAACAATTATCTCCGAGGAAACTGACTGAGGCAAGCAGAAGGAAAATTCTTACTTTCGGATGACTATTTCTATTTTCAACTTAATATTTATCTGAACTACTTGGAATTCCATATCATGTGTCTGTCTCCTTTATTTTTTAAGAAAGGTGTCAACAGGACTTGTCAACAGCCTCTAAGGTAGCAGCTATGCAGATTGCTTCTCTCTTCTGTAGTATACTTTCTAAGGAACTCAGTTTGATCCCCAGGTATAGTAGCCCCTTTCTGCCTTTCTTCCCTCAGCAGCCACTGAGTGCTCAGCGCCATCTATTGGTGGCATGTGTAACCTACAGCATTGAGAATAAAGGGTTGCGCTCCCAATTAGGTTTATCATGTGAAACATCAGAGTACCTGCTTCCCATGGGTATTGATTCAGCTCTTTTCTCCATGTATAAAAGGGACAACTATTAAAAGTGAATTAAAAATACTACTCAATTAGCTTTCCTTGTTTCCTTCCATCCCATACTATCTTCCTCTTGAAGAAAATTTTGTGGTTTTGTTTTCATGGGAAAAATATGCTTATGTCTTGGCTGTCTTTGATCCTATGCTATTTTTGAGTCTGTGAAATCCTTGGTGGCAAAACTTGAAATAACTGTTCAACTTAATTTGTGGGACATGAATTTCGCTTAAAAATATCAAATATTCCTTGCTATTCATCATTAACTGGAGCCAAAATCCATATATGCACCCACAAACACAAGGAGGGATTTTCTTACTCTTTTGACATTCACAAATTTTTTTTCTGGAATAGAAAAAGAATGAAAGGTTTAATATATATGTACATATACATATTAGAAAGACTTTAAAATATACGCATTTTTGCCAGGTACTAGTGGCTCACCCCTGTAATTCTAGCTACTTGGCTACTTTTCCCTGATGGGAAAAAATGTTCATAAGACTCCTATCTCAATAGAAAAAGTTGGGTGTGGTGGCATGTGCCTGTCATCTCAGCTTCTTCACTGGTGTCAATAAGATATTGCAGTCCAGACAAACTGAGTGGAAAATATGAAATTCCGCCTCAAAAATAACTAGAGCAAAAAGGACTAGAGATGTAGCTCAAGTGGTTGGTTTGCCTAGCAACTATGGAACCCTGAGTTCAACCACAATACCACCAGAAATAAATCTTTTTTGTCAGTCTGTTGTTCCTGTCTGGAGGACCAGGAAGGAAAAATGCTGATGAGAAATCACTAGCTGTACTCTTGTATCTGGGTTCATAAACTCAGCATGCAAGAGAGGATTAAATACATTTACAAAAAGACCCACCTCTCTAGTTGGAAATTCATTTTGATGTGATAGATGTGACCCTCTACCCAGATGCCCCTCAGTAGATGAATGGATCAAGAAAATGTGGTATATATACACAATGGAATTCTATGCCTCCATCAGAAAGAATGACATTGCCCCATTT